ATACGTATATCATGAAAGTATAATAATAGATATGAAAATATGAAATGTGAAAATATTTTGTTCTTTTTCCAGTATCTTTATTTGCTCTTCAGCGACGACGATCTCATAAGTCTGGACGACTGGGTATTCAACTCTGAGGCTCATGTGCTTCCTATCAAGGGCAATCCTCTGTACCGCCCAGCTCCCTCTTTATAAGCCAGACAAGTTCACGACATATTGAACAATATTGACAATTCTCGTTCGGCAGTGATGGAATCGACAGATATATATACATATGTGTATATATAATATATAATAATATGACGATACACAGTGGATCAAAATTATAATGACAGAAGACTTAAGAAATTTATTTCGAATTAACAAAGCGCTTTTTTAGTTAATTCTTTCTTTTCATAATATTATATTGATTGCAAAAAAATTTCTGATGCGACGAAACTACAATTGCATTTGTTCTTCTTTTATTTTCATTCATTCGTTATACAATACAAATGTTCACTTTACGATATAAAAGATGTTTATTTATTACATTAATGTTTATTTATTACGCGATTTATTTCAATTTTGATCCATTGTGTACATAATAAAATCGCAAATTAATGAAGAGGAAGAATTAGTCTTCGCGCTTAGAGCGAATTGATACATTTTAAATTAAAATAATTATTTTTAGGTAAAGAAAAGAGAGAAAAAGTGAGAGAGAGAGAGAGAGAGAGAGAGAGAGAGAGAGAGAGAGCGAGAAAATTGAGAGTGAGAAAAAGCAGAATGAAAATATTAACGAACGTTATTTAAGCCACACGTTTGTAAATAGCAAAAATAAAGAAAGTGAGAATGTGAGAGAATGAAAAAGAGAGCTATGAAAATAGAAAAATATATTGCGAGAATGCTTCGCCCATTTCCTTTTTCAGCCGCAGCGCCAAGCGATCTACTTCACACTTATAAATATATATTTGTAACATTTTTAATATTCTCTAAAAATCACGGCAGGGTAATCGATGATTCATTGGCATTCCTTTCTTTTTCATCAATAGTTACGCTGGAGATATATAACTCTCTAAAAACAGATGAAAAAGCATTATTAAGAAAATCTTAATAATTGTGGAATATTTTATCACATTATAAAACAGATTAAATTAATATATCAAATTGTTAATGACATCTATTTAGTATTCTGTGAGAATGTCTCTATTTTTTCAAATGTTAAGTTTTGATCGCGTACAAATTCAGTGTATTAATTGAAATTATGTGTGAACTGTTTTTATATAGCCGAATGAGGATAAATTTTATGTCGATACCAAGCATCAATATAAACTTGTTTTGTAAAACTTTGAAAATAAAATTGTCAGTCAATCAAAAAAAAAAAATAATAAAACTAAAAAGAAGAGAGAAAAATAGCGATAAATCGTCGAACCATCGTTTAAAAAAACGTCCCATACAACGTTTTATAATACTAACGCTTAACGCGTCTCTTTCCCCATTTTTTATCGATATTCCTCAAAAAGATTTTGACTATCCAACAATTTTGCTATCGAGTCCAATCTCTCCCAACTTCCTGAATTTTTTAACAAAGGAAGAAAGGAGAAAGTATACAAACCAAACTGTCATTCTCACGATTGCGGTGCGAGCGTGCTTTTTGTATGGTGTGCTAATCGAAGTAGAATGAAATAAAAAGAAAATCTGAAAAATGTGTAGACCGAATGTACGAATGCGATCGCGCGTTTGCAATGACGGCGATCATCATTGCAAGTCAGTCGAATATCGTAATAAAACAGTTAACTAGCAGACAATTAACTAGCAAAGTCTATAATGAAAGGTAGAGACGTGTATATAAAGATTACAAGAAAGTCATATTCTATACGAAGAGTGCGAGATATCGAATGGGATTCTAGAAGAAACACCATATAATTGTATAGCGCTTATACCGATTGTAAGAATTGATTCGTCCAAATTGGATTTTGCAATATCCAACGAGAAACAATTATATACAAACAGTAGCATATATCTCAAAGACACGCATTTTCGTGTTCAGGATCGGACTTACAATTGTAATTACAGTTAAAGGAACTTCTTTTCAGTAATATCAATCGTGACCAGTAATCGCAAAGAGACTCTGACTTTTTACAATTTCATCTCGTGAATGAGCTTTTGTAAAACATTTTTCTTCAGTAAATTTGACCCTGATGGTGTCGCTTATTGAATTTCCGAACAATCAGCATCGCACTTATTGATGATGAGAATGGCCGGAAAGTTACTTAATGTATACATAGTGCAGAGCTGTCGCGCGACAGTTTTCCGGTAAGATGAGGTTCCAAAGGCGAGACTTCGAAACATCATCTTCAAATGCAAAATAGAAAATACATATATACACACACACACACACACACACACAAACAAATAAACAAACACAGCTAGACAGACAAACAAATAGGAAGATTTATATTATGAGATACATACACGCGCACAAGCCGCGTAACCATTCACTCTTACGCATTCGAATGAAGCGAAATGGTTAGATGTGTGATATTGAATTTTAAAGCGTGACAGTTGATAATAATCATATTATTTTCGTTTTTTATGTCAGACTGCGTCGACCTCCAAGAGGTTCTATCCATGATATTTGTTAGATGTCAATACCATTTTATCAAACATTTATATTAAGAGAAGTGTTACACCAATAATCAACATTAATTGTTGAAATCTTTATTTTATTATTGTAATTAACAATGTAATCTAGGAAGGATCTATAATTAAATGACATTTGTTTAAAATAGTAATATATTTTACATTTTATGCTTAAACTTATTTTTTTATACTGACTATTATAGATGACTAGTTAACTATTGGTGTAACTCACTCGAAATGATTCACAAATAAATATATGATATCTCTATCCGAGAAGAGAGTCATAGAGAAAATTTTGTAACACAAGGTTTATTTGGTATTATAGATAATCATTTATTGATAATAACTAAAATGAATTGTTAACAATTAGATTTTATGATGAACTTTGATAGTTATTCATAATGGATGTTCACGCACAGTGACTATCGTCTCAATACGTTTTCTTAAAATTCAATTCTTAAAATTTCATCATGAAATCTTTCAAACTTCCGGTCCCCATTAATAACACACAGATACAGTAACCGTAGATGGTGTGTATATAAAAATAGTGATAATGACATCGAGAATGATAGCGAGAATGGCAGTGTCCGGCGATGATGATGATAGTAATAATAATAGCCTATACATTTGTGAATAGATATTTAATAATTTATTGTTACTAGAGTATTTTACTTGGACTACTTCACTGAACGGGGTTTTGGGTACAATAATCTTTTCTTGTGGCAGTGATGGCGCTTACAATTTGTTTATTTGAATGATAACAAGAGAAATGGAAAAAAACAAAACTTTATTGGCTTTACTCGCTTGATCTTTGAACGATAAGCGATTGTGCGCCAGAAGAAATATATATATATATATATATA